TATATATATTCATGTTTGCGGTTAAAATCCTTTGTTTATATGTGAAAAATATTATTTATCTCATTTTATTAAAAAAATACGATCTCTTTAATATTATCATTTTATTAAAAAAGTATAACTAATTTAGGCCATTAAAAAATAATTTAATGACAGAGATAAGAAGAGAATGACAGGGAACTACTTTACGTTTGCATGAATTATATTTTCTTTACGAGACTATACGCGAAGAACGTGAAATGTGATCAGTGTGAAATGCATTGTACCTAAATGCAAAACTGTACAAGTACGATGTCGATGGATTAAAATTCCAATGTTACAGAAACATGAGAATGGTTTATTTGTGACACTAGAGATACAACAAAATAAAAATATACTAAGTCACAATAAAAAAAATTGCATGCGTTTGTAGAATATACAAATACATGTGTGTGTGTGTGTGTGTGTGTGTAAACTTTTGTGTTTACTAATATAATTTTTAACCTCCTTCTTAAATTTTAATCTTGTATCAGATATAGATCTAAAACAATGAATTCAACGAATCTAGCGACATGCATATTAATAATTATAAAATTAATTTTCATTTTTTATCTTTGCATGTTTACTTAATTAAATTAACTACTATTAGAAAAATGCGTATTAAAATTAAATAACTTAGAGCATTTAATTCAAGACATTTGATTACAGAAATACTTGAGTAAACACATAATTAAAATGTTTCTTTATTACAATTCTGTTTATATATTTAAAAAAGTATATTTATATGTACACGCGCGTATAATTTATAAAAGTGTTAGATTATCCGTCTCATAATAAAAAATTAGTATGGAATAACAATTGAAATATTAATACTATATTAATGTCGTTGTTGTTCGATTTTGTGTGTGATGACTTTCAATTATCCCGTTGGATTACTTCAGTAAAGAGAAATAAATCAATTCGCAAAGAAATTTCGCAGATCACATTGTCAACATTTGAGACTTCCGTCTCGAGAATCGGATCACAGCGTGAGACAGGAAACCTTTAGTAGCGTATCACATGTCACAGAGCGAGTGGTGCACGAAACACACTTTTGCGCGAACATTCTCTCGATAATAGTTAACTAGAGCTGCTCCATCTCAATCTACGATCCAGCAGAAGGAACTGAACGGTGCGGAACACGTCCATGCTCCTTATCGAAACAGGAAGAAATGACGATTTCTTCGGGGCATTCAGCGCTTCCCTGTGCGCTTAGGTGATTAAGGACCAAGGGATAAAGCTGGGTAGAAGAGATATACCGCCGTTGTAGGTGGAACGACGTGGGCGTGCGAACGAACAAAACCGCGAGAGAAAATTGGAGAGAGAAAGATCGAGAGGGTGAGAGATAAAGAGGAAGAGAGAGAATGAGGGAGAGAGAGAGGGTGGGAGAGGGCAAGGACAACGTTTGAAGATTGGGTCGCTTGTAGGTATGAGCGCGCGG